TAGATTATGTGTGTGGCATATTGAACAAAATTCTAAGAAACACATTGGGGCGTTGAGAGCTTTGGATGGTTTCACTGATTTATTTGGTTATTTACTAAAGTATTGTGAAACTCCACCAGAATTTGAGCATTATTGGAAAAGGTACTTCTGCTTTATACTTGTTTAGCTTCTTAAATAATTTTTACAGAAATGAACATTTAGTTTTTTATAAATGTTTATTTATAATGATCATAACTGTTATGCTTAATGATCATGTTTCATTTACAGAATGTTGTTGAAATATGACTGTGCAAATGTTGATTGGTTGAATGATTTGTATAAAATCAAAGAGATGTGGTGTCCAGCTTTTTCAAAGAAATTTTGGTCAGGAGGTGTGCTTTCATCTCAACGTAGTGAGACAACTAACAAATCAGTTTCTCAAAGGCTTAACAAGACACAAGGTCTATGTGATTTCTATCAAGTGTTTCTCGATGTGGTTCAAGAGTGGAGAAGCAAAGAAAAAGGGAGAGATTATAATACAATCAGAGGTAATCGTCATTTGGCCTTTTCATACATTGGGATTCTTGTTCATGCTAGATCATTGTATACTATTCAAGCTTATGTGCTTTTTGAGGAAGAGTTCATTAAGGGTACTGCTTGTGATCATAAGGATGCTGGTGTGAATTTTCCTGAATATTATTATCATTTGTGGAGACCTGGGAAAGATATGATCAAACACGAGGTTGTTTTTAATAAAGAAACACATGCAATATGTTGTACATGCATGTTGTTTAGTGAAATGGGTTTGCTTTGTTGTCATGCTCTTCGAATTTATCATATGAATTGTGTTCATAAGATTCCAGATGACTATATATGTAAGAGGTGGACTAAGGCTGCTATGTGTAGTCATGGCCTTGATGAACCTACAATGAAAACCAATGTAGTATCTACAAGTGTTTGGAGGACACAAACACTAAGGAAATTTGTTAAGTTGGTAACAAGTTATCAACACTCTTTGAATGCTAGAGCAGAGGTTGAATGTTATTTCAATCTTTTAAAAGAAAAGATTGAGAGTGTTACTGGTACTATTGATTTTAATGAACCGGTTGAAGGTATTGAAATTGTTGATCATGAAGTTAAGAATCCGTCAAAATCAAGACCTATTGGAGAGAGGAATTATAGGCCTAAGAGTAATTTAGAGAAGGCTTATAACAAAGCCAGGGGTCAGTGGTTGAAGAAAAAGTCAGTATACACTCCTTATAAAAGATCTAAAGGTCAAGCAGTAGTTCAGGTAATAATGCACATTTATGTTTTTGTTATTGATCATTTATGTTCAAGAATTGAACATTTTTGTTTTGCCTTAGGAATTGGACGAGAATGGGTGTCCTATATCTTATGCTAATTCTTTGGCTGATCCTAATGAGTTAATTGTGATTGAAGATCCAAGTGCTCAGGTAAAAACTTATTTTCTTTTTTTTTTATCTGTTTTTATCAAATTCTTTAGAATATAAAACATTTTTACTTTTAATTTTTTTTTCAAGGTTTGTAATAAAAAGACTGCCATTGTAGAAGATATCCCTTCAGATGATAGTGTTTCAAATGACTTTGAACAGGTATTATGTAAATGATTATGTATGTAATTGTAGTTGTTCATTTTAGTAGTTTAAGTTGTGATTATAATGTTTTTATAATTTTCATTTTATTATAGGAATATGGATATAGCTTTATGCAATCAAACGTTACTGTTGATCCAGACATATCTTCTATTGTTAAGGTGAAATATTAATCATCTACCTTTTAATTTTGTATAAGGTCATTATGAATTTTGAATTTGATCATTAATTATTTTAATTTTGATCATTAGGGTAAAACAGCTGCAATTGCTCATGATGTTGATAATTTTCCAACAAGTTCTCAATTGCCGCCAAAGAAACCAAGAAATGTACAATTTCCCACAGTTGTGCATGCTCAAATCAATGCTCAAGCTCCTTCTAAAGTTTCTAGCATTGTTCAAAATCCTCCAAAAGCTCCAAGAAATGTTCAAGTTCATTCTAGTGTTCCGAAGAAAGTTCAAGCTCCTTCTAATGTTCCAAGAAGTACTCAAGGCTGTTCTCGGAATGTTCAAGTTGATTCTAGTATTTCAAGAAATGTGCATGATGTTCCCAATGTTCCAAGAAGTACTCAAGGAAATTCAAGGAATGTGCAAGTTTCTCCTAGTGTTTCAAGGAATGTTCTACTTTCTCCTAGTATTTCAATGAATGTTCAAGGATCTCCTACCGTTTCAAGAAGTACTCAAGGAGGTTCTCCACAGATTTCAACCAAATATGATAGGTTATTAGCGTTTTTTGATACTAGTGTGGCTAAGAGATTGGCTACAAATGGTAAATAAGAGAGTAAATCAATATGCAATTATGTTTTGGTGTTTAACTATCAACATTTTTAGTTGTCTCAACTTTATAGAGATTCAAGTGCTTTAAGTTTTTTATATTTTGATTTATTAAGTAATTTGAATCTTTTTTTTTTCAAACTATTCTTAAATGTTCTATAAATGATTATTTTTGCTTTTGGAAGTGATCATATACTATTTTAAATAGTAAGAACCATTATTAAATTGGAATAATTATATTAGATGATTTAAAACTGGCAATTATAATGTAACACTTTACTATTTGTAAATATTAAAAAGATAATAAATTTTGTCTTTACTTGAACAACAACAAAAACTTATGTCCATACAAATACTGAAAGCAAGTATGACCATATATATGTCTATATATGAACATATTGTATTAAGCTTGTGCAAATCTTCTTGCTGCTCTTCTATTGTTCTGTGACTTCCTGTTTCCTTCATTCAGCATTAGTTCAACAGTGTATTGTACTCTGAGCTTTCTAATTTGGTTCACCTATTCCAAGAAAATAATTTATTATAAACATGAACATTAATGGGATATAAATGATCATTATGTATTATAAAGTGATCATGAAGTATATTTTTTTGTTTTGTTGAAATTTACTTACATTGTTTGGTTTTAGGTCACAAACCCATTCTTCATTGGGATCAGCAGTGAAAGTTTCCATATGTTTCATAATGTAAACTCCACAGTTGGTGTAATCTTCGTTGCTCCTCCACTTTATTTTTTGCAAAACCACCTTATATTTCTCAATAGAATCTGCATCTTCATACCCCAACCCTTTCAAATATTCTGCATATCCTTTTAACTGCAACATATACAGAAAAAAAAATTCAAAGGATCATATTAATATTGATCATTTTAATTTTCAATATTGATCATTTTGTATAAACAAATTGATCATTTATATATCTATTAAACAATATACTTACCACCAATTGGGGTTGGTTTTCATACTTTGTTGCAATTGTTTGATGTTTTGGCAGTTTCCTGTTGTCAATTATATGCATTGTCTCATTGATATGATCAATGCATAGAAGATAGAAATGTGCATATATGGCCACTGGAAAAAAAATTTGTACATAGTACACAATATTATTATATATACACATTAATGTAAATGAACATATTATAATTCCATATTGTTCATTAATACCTGTTGATATCCAACTGCACTCTTGATTTTGTATAACCTCAATTCATTTGTTATTCTTTCTTTGAAGTATGCAATTCTAAGCTCCATTGATGATCCTTCAGGACACACTGTATTTGCATACATAATTTGCTGCAAATAATGCACAAGGATCATTTTAATATTCATAATGATCATCTAGTATAAGTGAATTGATCATTTTAGTACACCAATGTATACATGTGTAATTTCAATAAATACTTACATGTGGAAATGTTGAAAAGTATAACTTGTTCTTTGACCTTTTTTGATTGAGAAGTACTGCCCATGAATCGATCACATTGTTAACTACTAATGTATCCCCTTCAAGAGTTTTCATCTCTGCCCTATTGATCGAATTCACTCCATCATAGTATAGTAGCTTACTGTAAAATATCAATTTTTTAAATTTTATGAGTTTACAACAAACATAATGTTAAAGTTTTAATGAAGTAAGTGATGTATACCTTTGATCTTTTCCACTTTAAGCATAGTCTGTTACAAGTTTGTTCATTGTGTCTTCATCTTTGAACAAATCCTTGTACTTGACCATGTATGGAGATCGGAAAGCAAGAGGAACATTTGGGATTTCTCTTTGTGGCCTAGTTAATGTGACCATATATTAATACAAATATGATTTTTTTTAATAATGAACAAATAATTTATATAAAGAACAAATAGTAATACCTTATCTCTTTTTCCTTTGCAATCTCAGTTTTTGCCTTCTCAGCTTCTCTTGATTTTTCTTTCCAAAGTCTTCTCTCTATCACTGAATAAATATTGAATTATGAATGATCATTTAGTATATTGATAATGAACATTATAAATCTATACACATGTAAAGACCATTTACCTTTGTCCTGTTGTGTTTTTGAAAATTTGAATCTTCTCTGTTTCAATTTCTTTTGAATCCTTTTTTGTCTCACTGAATATAAATATAGTATAAATGATTATTCAGTTTAATGAAAAAGAACATGTATATGTGGAATAATCATTTACCTTTCCTTCACATTTGAAGCATATATCTGTTTTTTCTTGTCTTCTCTGAAATATTAATCATGGTTAGTAATGAAGAGTAATTAATATAAAAAAAACATTATTCTCCTTTTTTGAACAATAAACACTTAAAATATTACTAAGACATTTAAATTAAAATACATAATTTACATATCTTAAATTGTGCATTCCTACCCTAAAGCAAAATATTCCCTTCTGATTTTATAATACATATCCATTACTAACTTCATAAACAAAAATTGTCCAAAATAATTACACTTTATAACCAAATTTATTCTACATGTCCATTCAAAATTATATATTTTCTAACAAGATAGGTCTTCCATGTTTACCCCATGCTTCCTCCTTTCTTGTTTGATTTATCAAGGATATCTTCCATACTTGAACATGCTGGAGATTTCAAGATTGTAGAAATATCTCTAGCAGCTTCCCTATTTTCAGTTGGTGTCTTGGGATCACCAACTTTTGAATCAGATGCTGCAAACAAAATACATGAAAGAAATTTTATATAACTAGAAATGAACATTATAATTAATAATTTGATCATTTATTTGTAATATGTGAACATTGTACCACTCTTTGAATTTCCTTCAACATTTTCTTCTAATGCTTCAGATTTTGAACCTTCACCTTTGTTTAATGCTTTTTTGTATTAATTTTCATTCACACATATATAGACTTAGTATCATTAAAGAAGAATATTTTACAATCACAAATGTTCATTTAATACTATATAAGTGAACTTTTTACCTTTTTTTGAATTTCCTCCATCTTGTGGTTCTTCAGAATTTGAACCTCCAACTCTTTCTGTTGATTTAAAATATATGAAATTGTTAATGTAAATGAACATTTGTTATTCTGAATATATACTTTTTTGAATATTTAGACTAAACAAACTTATTATTTTATAAATGAACATTATACTTTTCATAATTGTACATAGATATTAAAGCTTTACCCTCTTCTGGCTTAGAAGAAACATTTGCATCAGTTGTTGTTGAAGTTGTGGCTGCAACATTAATCTGTGCTTCTGTGTTCAAATAAATTAAATTTTAATTCTTTAATTATATTATACTCTTTAAGTAAGGATATTCAAATTAATGACAATTTTTAATTAAGCATATTTACCAGTTGTTGGAGTTGGGGGAGTTAAGTTGCAACCCAAACTGAATGTCTTCCTTATATCATATTCCTTCTCATTTCCTATTTTCTTTTTTTCTGCTTCACTTGCCTCCATCAGTTCCTTCTCAATTTGTGCTATGGCATTCAAAAAATCCTCTGATCCAAATATTTCTTCATCTTGGCTGAGAATTGATGGTTCTCTTGCCATCTTTCCCAACACTTCATCTACCTTCTTGACCAACTGATTCCCAGGGAAGAGCTCTTTTGCCTTAACCAATTTGGTAGAAAGTCTTGCCAAAGATGCACCAACTTCTTGTACCATTGATGCAAATTCATTCATAAAGACCTGTCATTTATAGAACATATAAAAAAAAATCATATAAGACATTATGTGTTTTGATATTGAACATTTCATAATTTATAAATGATCATTTTGTACCTTAGGATTTTCTTCAGGCTTTTCTTCTATTCTTGGAAGGACTTTTCCATATCCATAGTTCAAACCATTTTCTGTTTTTATCCTTTCAAGTGACATATCCCTTTTCCAACAAGAAATTATTGGAATTGTTCTTGGTTGTTTTTTGTTCAATCTTTGAACTCTGTCAAAGTAGAACAGCTGCACCAAAACCCATTACTATAAATGAACATATAATATAATACAAATGAACAATTAATATAAAAGATTAAAATTTTAGACGAAATCGATATTTAACATTTTGTTAATGAACATTCATTGTTACTAAAATGAACATTTTATAATTTACTATTGTGTGTTGTAAACTTACCATCAGAAATTGCAGTGGTCCATTGTAGAATCCTTTTCCTCCACTCTTTCTCCATATCACATGGCAACTGATGAGAGAGTCAAACACGTACTGACACCAATTCAAGTTTTTTATTTTTTCTTTGTCCATCATAGAAAACAGAAACTTGAAATGGCATTGGTTGTTTGAAATACACTTCATCAAACAATTCACAACAACTACCAAAAAGTTGGTGAGAAAATCTTCTTCTGCTAGCCTTTGGTTTTTGAATTTATCACTTGTATATTGAGCAATAATTTGGTTTACAGATGGTGTTTTGCCTTGCCATTTTAACCTCCAATTTTTTATAAATACACCAAAATCTTCACTTGCTCTGTCTGATTTGGCTTCAACAATGGGAATGTCTCCCATTGGCAAACCATATACAATTCTCACATCCTCCACCTCAATTTCAATTTTCTCACCTTTAGGCAGCTCAAAACTACAACTACTGACTTCAAAGCTATCTAAAACCCAATGGCTGAATTGTTTGTCAAGCTGAGGAAGTTCTATATCCAACAACGGCCCCAGTCCTATTTCATGCACTAATTTCTTCTGTGTATCACTCATTTTCTTAACCCAATGCATGAATTTGACATGGCCTCCTCTTGTCGAACTTCCAACTTCCTCTTCATTCTTTTCTTCCTCCTCTTCTTTTTTTTAGCCACTGAAAATTCAGTTTTCCTCTTCACAATCTTTTTTATTGGTTCCCTCTCATACAGAACCATTCTTTTTTCTTCAGCTTTTGGTTTTTTCAATGTTGTTTTCTTTTCTTGAACTACTTCCACCTCCTCACTTTCTTCATCTTCTTCTTTTTCAGCATCAAAAGTTGGATCCTCACTGTTTGATCCACTATCAATATTACTTTTATCATCTTCTTCATTTTCCTCCTTTGATTGTTCTTCAATGATTTTTGTTTTCTTCAAAGGGCCTTTAGCTGATGCAGAAGGCCTCTTCTGGCCACCTAAACATTTGATCAATTATAATATGTAAAATGAACATATATATATGAAAGTGTAAATTGCTAGTTTGTATTTGAACATTTAACTTTATTAATATGTACATTACCTTTTTGTTCTACTTTTTTAAGAATTTTCTTTTCTGCAGGAGCAGAACTTGTTGCAGGGACTTCTTCTTGTTCTTCATCCTCTGATGGTTCATCATAAGGCACTTGATCTATGACTTTTCTTTTTTTTGCAGGACCTTTGGCTGATGCAGCAGGTCTTTTCTGACCACCTAATTATTTGATCAATTACATTAAGTAAAATAAACATTTTAAAAGTGTAAGATTGTAATTGAACATTTATTGTTTTAGATATGTTCTTTTACCTTTTTGGCCTGCTTTCCCAATAACTGCAGCCCTTGTACGCCCTGTTTTCTCAGCAGGTTTCTCTGTAACTGCAGTTGCAGCCCTTGGACGCCCAGGTTTTTTGGGTGTTGTTGCTGCTGGTAGGTTTTCAGCAATTGCTGCAGCAGCTGTTGCTATAGCTGATATGCCAGGCAACTTAACATCTGCAAATAAACATTGTTATATAAATATTAATATAGTTGTAATATTTTATTTAAATGATCATTGTTATATTAGAAATTGTACATTTTATTTACCTCGTGATTTACTTCTTGTTCTTCTTGCTGGTGATTGTTCATCTTCCTGTTTTTTCTGATTTTCTTCCAATTCTTTTTTCTTTTGATTTTTCCTTGCAACCATTTTCCTTCTTGGTTGCTTTGAATTTTGTGAAGATTCTTCACTCTTTTGAGACAAATTTAACTCTTCAACAGGTTTTATACCTCTCAATATTCTTGTCAACTCCTCATCCCTTTGCAATTCTTCTTGTCTTTGTCTTTCCAATTCTTCTTCTGTTTCATCCTCAATCTCAATTTCTTCACCACCTATACATTTAGATTATTTACAAATTGGTAAATGAACATTTTCAGTATAAGTGTTATTGATTAAAAAAATTTAATATTTAATTTAACAATTATGTACATTACCTAATAGGATTTTTTTAATTTCAGCAGGGGCCTTCTGTTGTGCATTTGCAGAACTTGCTGCATGGGATTTTTCTGCAGCAGAGGACTTTTCAGTAGTTGTAGCTGGGGCCATTTCAGCAGCAGTGGCTTTTCCAGCAGTATCAACAGTTGTAGCAGGGGCCTTTTTAGCAGCAATGACCTTGCTAACAGGAGCAGTTTTCCAGTTTTTTGTCAGTTTTTTTAGTATTCCTTGAGTTGACACTTTTATTTTTTTCCTGGCAACAGATAATTTATGATCAATAATATTGTAAATGTGGAATAGAAACATTTAATAAGTTATATATGTTCATACTTTTGCATTATGTATGAATGTGTTTCTTCAACTGCTGCTGGAGGCTCATCCTCTTTTGGAGGCTCTTCCTCTGTTGGAGGCTCATCCTCTGCTATAGCCTTCACTTGTTGTGTAGGCTGATCCTTTGCTGTAGCCTCTTTTGGAGGCTCATCTTCAGTTGATTCATTTCTGAAAATTAAAAATTGAAAATGATTAAAAATGTTTATCAACTAATATGAAAATGAACATTAGTTGATTTCTGAAAATACCCTGCTGCATCATTTTTTGGTTGTAGTTGTTCAACCTCTCTTGTGTCTTTCTTAGGTGATTGATTTCTGAAAACCAATTAATTTCAAATAATTAAAAATGTTTATTAAGTAATATGAAAATGAACATTATGGGAATCAAATACCCTGTATTCATTAATTCTGATCCAGCCTTTTCTTGTTGTAGGTGATCAGTTTTTGCTTCCTCTTCAGTTGTTTTTTTTTCTGAGAATGCAAATCATTAGATTATGTATGACAACTAAGAAATAAATGAACATTAAACACATTGAGGTAGAATATACCCTTGATTTGTTGATGCATCATCTATTTTTGAAGTTTCCTTCTCTTGTTAACTGAAATTTTTCGAATGTTAATACATAAAAGTATGATTATGTAACTGTATAAAAATTAATTATTGAATTTTTATTAAGTATTTATACCTTATTGATTGATTTTTCTCTGGCCTTGATCTTGACATTATAAATTTCACTTTCAACTTTTTTGGTTCACTAAAATTTTACAAATTATTTCAATTATGAGATTAAGTATTGAAGTAAATGATTGTACATTAAATATTACATATATGAATATTTGTAAGTATATCAACTTACTTGGGATGTAGGTTGTCTCCTAATAAATAGGGTTCCCACTTTTTTATAACTTCATTTTTATCCAATTTGTTGTCTATTTCAGAACATTCTTTTCTCTCATGAATTATAGGATAAGGATTGAACATTCCATTGTCAAATTGCATCAAGTGTATCACTTTAAATGGTACATCACTACAATGTAAATTAATATTGTAAATCATAAAAATTGACATGATGTTTCTATGTTAGACAAATGTACAGAATAGTTCATATAAATGATCAATATAGTTGTAGCAATGAACATTTGTATACACATATATGGATATATATAGCATAATATGAATTTTGACAATATAGTATTTTGTAAATGTTCATTTTACTACACAGATGAATAAAGTATATGTTTTCTATTTGTACAAAATGGAATTTAGAAAGAACAATTAATATGTCAGTAAATGTATACACATAAATTTAGAAATGAACAATTTAGAAACAAACATAAATTGCATGTTGTACACATAATATACAAATTTGAACATATGTATACATATATATGCACACATATATGCACACATATATGCACACAATCCAATTTGAACATATACTGTTTTGTATTTGTTCATTATATTTCACAATACTATACTTTATATTTTTTTTGGTTGATCATTTAATCAAAATTATGCATACATTCCAATATTAACAGTAACTTGTTTAAATTTTTATTATCGTCTCAGAAATAGAGGAAAATTATGTTTATTTTGAAATTAAACAGTAACTTGTTTAAATATAAGCAAATTTAAATAAATTTATGCTTATAATTTCAAAAAAAATAGTAATACTTACTTTGATTGTTCTGGAACTCCAGTATTTTAAATTTTTTTCCTGAAGCATCATCAAAAAGAAAAAATACCAAAAAATTAGGGTTTTGTTTCGCAATTTTCAATTAATTTTACACTAAACATGTAAAACATACTTACTCATTAGATTTTTGGTTTGTTGTTGTTGAAATTTGTCGAGATTGTGCAATTTCGTCTCTTATGTTGGACATTTTAGACAATTTTACTTGCTAATTGCATGTACGAAAATGGAGTAGAGAGAGAAAATGGAGGTTGAGTGAGAAATTGGAGAAAGAGGATGAGAAAGAAAATGCAGAGTAAATGTGATTATTTGAAAAGTTTTTTTTTTTTAATTATATATATATATGGGTGGGGTAGTGGGAAGTTACTGACAGTTTTAGAGGGAAGTTACTGGGATGTGTGGGGGTAGTGGTACGGCGTCGTTTAGGGGGGGGTGTAGGGATAAATGGCTAAACTAGAGTTTAGCCATAAATAATTACCTTAACTCCCTCTCTAGTTCCTCTTTCTGGTTTGATCAACTAGCTATTCATAGTGTGGGCTTATCTTTTGTTATTAGTAGTTTTATTTTGGCTTTTATTTTCAGCAACAACTTCTATCCAGCTTCTGTTGTTGTTTTGCTTGATAGCTCCTCTCTGTACTTGGATGATGTTTATGTGATTTAATATATGCTCCCACTTTGTGTTAAAAAAAAATGTAAAATGAGGGCGACGTTTAACACTCCCCTTATTTTTTTTTTTTTAAGATGTTCTAACAAATTTTCAAAAATATGTTCTTTGTATAATACATGTCATTGGCTATATTTCTGGAATTTTAAGTAGTGATGATTACTCAAAGAATGACAAAAGAATGAAGGTGATCACTATTCAATTAGAAGACCTGCAGTAAGTAATGGAAATATTGAATTAATGATATTTCTTTTTTTTTTTTTTAATTTTTTTTTTGTGACAAGAATGATATTTCTGTTTATTGAATTCAAAAATAATGTTTTAAGATGCACTTTATGGAATCAATATGCTGATCAATTATAAGATTATTTATCTAAGCATTCAGACCGTCAAGTTATCATCTTATTACGGTTTGTAAAAATCAAGACTTGGCAAGGTATATAAAATATTAATGTTGCAAGTTTTTGTTTTGACACCAATATTAGTACTATCTATTATATTCATGTTTATTAATTTTAATTATTTACTTACAGGTACTACCATGCTATCAACTTCCCTATTTGCGACTAAACTATATATAAATTCTGATATTGATGAGCTGAATGAGTTTAAGAATAGGTATATAATATTTTATTTTATTTTTAAATATGCATATTATTCTTGAAAGAGTATATATTATATCGAAAAGTGTTATTATAAGTTATACAACAAAATAAATATTTATTAGTTATACAACAAAATATATATTGATTGTTACATTAATTTTGCAGATTTGATATGGGTGGAAGGACTTCTTCGGAATTGGTGACTGACATAAGTAGTTATATCTCACAAAAAAATGAGAGTGACTTTTTAAACAAATCTGAAAGAAAAACAGTTGATGAGATACGTTATACACAAGAGGCAAGTGCTCAATGGTATTTTCTTTTAAAGTTATGATGCAGAAACATATTGTTTAAAATTACAAATATCAAATTTATATGACAAAATTTTATTATTATAAATATTATTTTATACAATATTTATTTATTTATTTATTTAAACTTTATGTGACAATTTCTTTCACATGTGGGTGTATATCTTCTAAGGCCAGTTTTTACTCATGGTCAACTATATGTTGCAATATCAAGGGTTACAAAAAAAAATGGGTTGAAAAATTTAATATGTGATAAGGAAGGTAAGACATATACTACTCAAAATGTAGTATACAAAGAAGTGTTTCAAAATGTGACATGAGGTAATCTTTTTTTTCTCTTCTTTTATTTTTTATTTTTTATTATTAATATACTTTGGTAAAATTGAAAGTTCTTTTCGTTCACTTAAATTTGGAAATTAAAACACATGATACATAATGGAAGAATTGTACAAGCAGCAAAAGGAACAATGCTATGGGTGCCAATACTTCTATAGGTATTACTTTCATTTCATTAATTATAAATATGATTTTTATACTTTCAATAAGATCTCATGTATTCCCTAAAAAAAAAAATAATAAAAAATAAAATAAAATAAGATCACATGTATTTTTTTTTTTTGTCTTTACATTTTTTGTTTTGCAGACACATAACAAATGGAGGCCTATTAGATTGATTCTAAAATAGATAGAATGACAGAGAAAGTGATGAGTAGAATAAATGAATGATGAATAATGTAGGGTCATTGGCTTAATTATCATCTCGAATATATATGTTAATTACTTTTTTTTTAATGGAGGGAATTATCACTCATTTCCTTATCTATATTAATTAGATGCTATTGTTTAATTTTTTCTATGTTAAGTGCTATTATACCCTCTTTAGGGACCTGCCCCTATTTCTCCTCGATAATAATAAAAAAAAATATTTTAAGATAATGCATATACTCCACAATACTATTAAATATGTGTATATATGACAAGTAACAATTAAAATTCTTAAGCAATGGTAAAAGATTTAAGAAATGGTTAGATTTAAGTCCGTGCAAATTATTATTCATTAACGTTATTGTCTAAATTATTTTGTCCTTATAAATAAAATATATGTATTAATGTATATAATTATAAGAATGGTTAAACATTTACTAATTTAACTTCCAATTCTCCGTAAAAAAGATTAACAATATTCATTACAAAGAGGTCTTATATAATGACCATGATTAATAATAATAATAATAAATTAATAATAACAATAATTCAATTGTATCCGTGCACGGCACGGGTCTTACACTAGTGGAGTACATATAATTACATAAACTACGAGATGTCGAGATTTGCGAAGTGCAATAAAATGGTATAGCGAATGATCCATCTATTCATGTAAAACTAGTTTTTAGGCCCGAGCGATGCCTCGAATTACTGAATTATTTCCATGATAAAAATCATTATAAATATAATTTTTTTATTAAATAACATGTAATATGGTAATAGTTTAGTGGCTAACACGTTAATGTTTAAACTTGAGGTTGTGGGTTCAAATCTTGTAAGAATTGTTAATATACTTAAACGTTAACTACGTACTCCGTAGGTGATATAAACAATAGTATGGGACATGCCTGTATGAGAGTAAGATAATAAAAGAGATTCTAGAAAAAGAATCGAGTATTAGTTAGTCTAACAATTTGAAATGACTCAAATTAAAAAGCGACTCGAACTTTTGTGAAAATTTTTAAATACACTCGGGTGCACCGTGCATCAAATTAACTTAAGGTTAGTTTTTGCTATTCATTTAATAATTAAATGAAAAATAATAATCAAAATGAGAATAAAATACTCATGGATGTACCGTGTACTTGGGTGTACATAACATTCTCTCGAACTTTTGAAAATAAAGAGAGTACTATATATCCAAGCAAAGCTTGATGGAGTTGGTGGGAACTCACCTTGTGACTTTGAGGTCACAGGTTATAGACCCACCAACAATATTTGCTTGAGGGTAGGAGAATTCCATTACCTCCACTTTACTCTCAAGCGTTAACTTGCAGAGTTTAACAAGCTTAACTTGTAAGATGTGCTAGTTTAATAGGGTCCTTTATCTTACCTAAAAAAAATAATGCACTTTATAAATCTTTTAAGTATACATATTACTCACTAAACCCGTTATTTATTACATAACTAAGCCAATGTATAGGGATGTCAATGGGGCGGGACAGGGCAGGGCGGATGTTGACTTCCCCATCCCCATCCCCGCCTAACATTTTCATCCCCATCCCCGCAGCGGGTCCAAACTCATCCCCACCCTGCACCACCGGGCCCAATTTAAACCATCCCCACCCCGCCCCACCCCCACTTGAATATCCACCCCCAACTAATCCCCACCAAGACCCGGTTAATCCCCGCCTCCCAAATACAACAACACTATGTAATATAGATTACAACAAAAGAAATTCATTGTTTATATTACACTTTTTAAATTTTTTTTTTTTTATAATATAATGTATGTACTATATTTACTACTTTATTTTACGTAAATTTTTTTATATGAAATAATATAAAAGTATACAATTTTTTTCTAAAATATATGGATGGGTATGAGGTGGGGATGGGGCCGGTATGAAGCGGAGCGGGCGGGGTGGAGCGGGGATGGGGCGGGTACAACCTAAAATCCACCCCGGCCCCGTCGCCCATGACGGGTATGGTTTTTATCCCCATCTCCGCCCCACCAACTGTCAAACCAGGACCCATTTCCGATGGAACGGGTTTCCTACTTTACCCTGACATTCCTACCATGTAAGGTGTTTTCTTCACTAAACCAACCCCACCATTGACATCCTTGCTACAAAACAAAAGAAAATCAGTTCTAGTTTATTACGGAGTATTAGTCAAAAATAAAGCAATTCCAATCATTTTTGTTATGCTAATACTGTTGGCACAATCATCAACAAATCCGATGTCGTCCAGCGGTTAGGATATCTGGCTTTCACCCAGGAGACCCGGGTTCGATTCCCGGCATCGGAACTTTTTTGTATTACAAACTATTAATTTAACTCAGTTGAATATTTGAACCACTATTTTGTCTGGATTTCTTTGTTCTACACCCACCAATTCACAGATAAATGTGCTCTGATTGGTAGTATACTAACTTTGTCATTTCCAGGAAAAAAAGGAGCAATCGAGAGTGAAACCATGGAAAATCAGCACCAAACATCAATGTCATCCACCCCTTTGCTAGCCAAAGACAGAGGTGACAGCTCACCGCGGCCGCCAGCAGCAGCAGCAGCAACTGCAGTTGTTATATTGAGTACTTTGGTTGCTATTTCTGGTTCCTTTGTCTTTGGTGCTTCAGTAAGTATAATTTAAACATTAGTCTTTCTTGTTTTATTTATTTTACTTCGTATTAAGATGTTTAAGTTTTGGAGTGTTAATGATTTGTACTGACTTTAGTTTTCTTTTATGAAGTGGGTATATTGCTAACATTAGTGTTATTTATGTTTTATTTTTTTAATTTTATTAAGATGTTTATATTTTGGGATGTTATTGATTTGTACTTACTTTGGTTTTCTTGTATGAAGTGGGTATATTTCCCAATTGTCTAAGTTTGGTAATTTTTAAATTACGGTTTTGAGTATGACCCTCAAGACTTTTACCAAGCGCATTGACATCTAAATTGATGTAGTGCTCAATTTGGACAAGAATTTATTGGTGGAATATATGAGATTAATGAGAAGGTGGAATGGATTTATAGGATATACACAAGGTTGAAGTTAATTTTTATTTTGTATTTATTTGACAAGGAAAATGATTTGGTTTTGCAATTTTGTGCATTTTGGGACAAAATTATAAAACTTGTATTGAAGATTTGAAGAAGAAATGATTTATTGCAGGTGGGATTTTCATCACCTGCTGAATCTGGAATGATATCTGACCTAGACTTAACTTTGGCACAGGTGTGCATCATCCTTTTTAAATATTTATATGATTTTTTCTTTCAATTGTGGCATATTGCAAATCACTATAAACTTTCATATGCCCCGTTTATGTTGTGATGTGTGGTGCAACGTCATGAACGAGGTCTATTATGTCGTTAATTTTTGAGGTGTCACTGACACTAGTCACTAGATATGCTTATTCTGGTCAAGTGATGCTTATGAAAAGCCTAATTAGGTTTGTCATTCAAATTTGAGAGCGAGAGAGGCAATCGAATAAGGACTAGTTATAGTTGCACCTTGCACGCATTACATTTTATACTGACTACATAAGTACATATTCGTCATTCTATCATGAAAAAAAATGTAATTGAGGTCCAAAAAAACCCTGCATTAGGTGTCCCCCTCGTGAGGAGGGTCTCCTAATGTTTCTTTTTCCTCACCCTTTCAAAGGAAAAATTAAATAAATAAAACAAACCCTGATCAAAGTTAGCCTTTCAGTTTCCTGGATAGTGATGTTTGCAGAAGGGACTCAAATCACAAAGGTATACTGAAATTTAGACTTAGATTTCGAGTTGCCACATGGAAGGATGAGTTATACAAAGTACTAAATCAGTACCGTTGCCTTAAGAATTAGGATGTCCTGTGGGCAAAGAGCAGTGTTACTCAAACTTTTCATGACAAGTTGTTTGCAATAAACATGGTATACTGCAGGATCACACTCAGTGAACTGCTACATTTCCTATTTCTTGTAATTACTTAAACCACTTGCATTACCTGGTAATACAGTATTCAGTCTTTGGATCGATATTGACAGTTGGAGCAATGATGGGTGCAGTAGTAAGTGGCCGGATAGCAGATAATTTTGGGAGACGGGGTGTAAGTTGTTTCGCTCTTCCTAACTGATCAATCTTTGGCAAATGTTACTGTCTGCTAAAATTATCTTCCTTCATTCTTATTTGCAAGTGATCTGTTTTTACAGGCTATGGCATTGTCGGAACTTCTTTGCCTTGTAGGAAGTCTTACAATTGTATTTGCTAAGGTTTGGATTCTTATTTCTTCCAACTGTGAATGCTCAGGTACCCTTATGTTTTATCCGAATATTCAGAATCTCATCAATCAAAGCAAACATAACATATATATGTGCTGCTTGACAAGGGTTATGTATAACTTATTTGCATCCATTGTTCAATACTCTGGTTAAACATGAGTGGAATTATTTATCTTACAGAATTCTGATGATGATGGTAGTTTGTCCGAACTCATAGCTCAATTCTCAGGTTTACTTTAGTACAACATTTCTTGCATATTTTCTGGTTTTGTTGTGGTTTTTTTTTTTTTTTTAATCAAATTCTTGTATGATCATGATTATAATATTTGTTTGCCAGATCATGAGTTCAAAACTGCATTTATCCTCAATAAAAGATCAGATCACAATTGTTTTGGTATATCTAAGATTTTTTCATGAGACCAAACCCTATTCTTGGAAAATCATAAGACTCCCCTTTTGCATGTCAAACTGAATTTCACTGAGAAAACTTAGTTGATTTCAGAATCATTTTTCATCCTTCAAAAGGTAGGAACTGATAATATACTTGGCATGTGCCAAATGAACCTAGTACATTTACCTTCCCCTTTAGGACGGTTTCATAGGCTTTTTTTTCCCCTTGCAATAATGTGCTTTCAATGTACTTGACATTTTTGCTGAAGGTGGCTTGGTTACTTGATACTGCAAGGCTATTTAACGGTGTTGGAATTGGGATCCTTTCTTATGTAGTAAGTACAACATCATATACAAGCACTTAGCTCAGTTTACTTGCATGTCAATGCGAAACATTGTAAGTTCTGTCCTAAAATCATAACAGGTACCTGTGTATGTTGCTGAAATCACCCCTAAAAACCTTAGAGGAAGATTTACCGCAGCCCATCAGGTTCTGTCTCTTGAATCTGTGATCTGGTTAGCTAACCAAGTTCGTACTTATAGCTTACATATTCTCAATGGCAGTTGATGATTTGCTGTGGTGTGTCAACAATGTGGCTTGTTGGAACTATCATTCATTGGCGAGTCCTTGCCGTAATTGGTACTCTTTTCCTAAACCTTTGACTGGAGTAGATGGTGGTATCAGTTTTACAACTTCTTGACTTTTTTTCCCTGTTTTCAGGGCTAATTCCAAGTATCCTACAGTTTCTAGGTGTGTTCTTTATCCCGGAGTCCCCACGTTGGCTTGTAAGTGAGATCAGTATGTTACAGTAGAGTAGCTTAATTGAGCTGTACCGAAAAAGGCTTGACCAGTGGTAAAGGTTTAACCTGGAAATCTTGTACAGGCAAAGAATTCAAGATGGGAAGAGTGTGAAGATGTTTTGAAGTCCCTAAGGGGACAACACGCTGATACTTCAGCAGAAGCTGCTGAGATTAAGGTGATTTATCCAATTCTTGATTTTTCTTGTTTTTGTGAGTCCTTAATTTGCATAGCATGGAGAATGAGTTAAGCCTTTTACATGTTTCAGGAGTATACAGAAACCCTTCAGCATTTATCTGAAGCAAAGTTTCTAGACCTATTCAAAAGAGAATACACGCGTTCACTGATAGTGAGTGTCTCAAATTATGAGCTGCAGTCCCTTTTATGTCTTTTAGCATACCTGGTTTTTTCTCAAATTGCTTTAAATCTGATTTAGGTAGGAGTTGGGCTGATGGTCTTCCAACAATTTGGAGGTGTTAATGGGGTTGTATTTTATGCAAATTCTATATTCGAATCTGCTGGTATTTAAATGCTGCTTCTTGGTACTTCTTCTAACAATGGAATGTTTGCAAAACTTTGCAGTTAATCCTTTTTTGTCATTAACTTCATGTTTGCTCAGGTTTGTCGGGAAGAGTGGGGACACTAGCAATGGTTGCAATTCAGGTTCACTGCTGCTTTCAACTTATTATTGTTTCTCAGAAATCTTCTTGTGCATGTCTCTAAGACAGTATAACTACCGATGACAGATTCCTATGACAGTTGTGGGCACTGTATTGATGGACAAATCTGGACGACGACCTCTTCTAATGGTGAGTTCTTTACATGCATCTGCATTGCCAATAAATAGAGACCTGAATTCGTTGCTTGTGAATTCAGATTTCGGCAGCTGGGACTTGCTTGGGTTGCTTCTTGACAGGATTATCATTCTTGCTCCAGGTCCTCTTCTCACTCACCCCAAACTCCCACCCCAACCTTTCCCACTCTTCCATGAGTCTAAAATATAATCTTCACCTGTGAAATTTCTTATCAAAAGTTGTTCATTTGCAGGATTTTCACATGTGGAATACTGAAGCTCCCTTTTTGGCACTTATTGGAGTGTTGGTAAGACGCATTAAACATAAGCTACCTTATTCGCTCCTTTTTTTTCTTCCTTTCCTCCTTAGTTTTGAGCTTAATTCTGTTCTGCTCTTGCTTTGATCTAGATGTTCTCGGCATCCTTCTCATTGGGAATGGGTGGTGTACCATGGGTAATTATGTCCGAGGTAGGATCTATAACTCTATGCATCATATGCTTCCTTCACAGAATTTGTATTTCTTCATAACTTTGTCAAAAAGTTGTCACAGTAGTAAGCTTTCATTTCATGTAATGACAGTTGCATATTTTTTCGTAGATTTTTCCAATGAATGTGAAGGGTTTAGCTGGTAGTCTTGTCACAGTAGTAAATTGGCTTGGCTCGTGGATGATTTCATTTACCTTCAACTTCTTGATGAGCTGGAGCTCATCTGGTAATGAACACAATTCCTTGCTATCCTGAACTTTTTGTTTGCTTTGAGCTTTGACAGTCACCTGGATATTCTGATATTCATATAACTTGGAAATTTTCATAACAGGTACTTTCTTCATATACTGCATCATTTGTGGTGCAACTGTTGTTTTTGTTGCGATGCTTGTACCTGAGACTAAGGAGCGTACATTGGAAGAGATACAGGCATCCATGAATCCCGCAACATCAAGCAGATAGATAAATTCACTGAAACTGGTATCTATAATCTATCATCATCCATTCTTTTTTTTTTTTTTTTATAACTTTAGCCGCCTCACCTGATTCATGTTTACATAGAGTTCATCTTGAGAAATATCGATAGATATGTACTTACTTCATATTGCTATAATGCTATGACTTCTTAAGTATGACATTCTAGCTAAGCATAATATGTGATAAAATCTAAATGGACATCATCGTAATTTTCGTGCAGATACGTAGAGGTAAAGACAAAAGAGGTCATTTTTCTGTTAGGTCTTTTTATCCAAAATGTTACCGTGAATCTGCAGTGTTACTTGTGAATATTGCAATCATCTTAAACCATGTACTACAAATCATATGTTGTCATTTTTGTTACACAGTTTGGCATACACATCACAAAGATGCCCAAGACGCTATAACTCCTAAACATCTCACATGATTATTATGTTTTGCTGCCTTTGCATGAAGTTAGTTAGTTACCCGTACAAAAAAAGCCAAGGCAAAAACTCTACCAAAATTTGACCACTCCTTTTCCATCTAACTAACCAAATTATATATAACCACGTTCAGTTCTGTTTAGATCAAATCAAATCAAATTAAATCTGATCCCCAAAGTGATTAATTGATTATTCACCATGGCGAATGCCCCTAACTCACAACAATCATCAAATAAGCCACCCCTTAACGGGCCCTTGCTCAGCACATCCATACCCCGGAGTACAGGCTCGGTCCACAAGACCTTATCTGGCGCTGCAAACCTTGTTAACCTTTTGCCCACAGGCACGGTCCTTGCATTCCAAGCCCTGATCTCTCCCTTCTCCCACAATGGCTTATGCCATGCTGTCAACAAATATACTGTCCTTAAAACAATTTTAACCCCCACTGTGATTGCAATGGGTTACCGGTTAATATGCTTCCAGAATTTCACTTAATTTCGAGATCAATTAAAGCAATGTAATTGAAACTCCCTAAGAACACTTTAAGAAATTAGGATAGATAAGGAAGAAGTTGAAAAGTAAGTTATAATATGGAGCAATTAAATATATATATGAACAGCCTTTTTAATCCAAGAGTCACTATTTTCCAAAATATAACACTATTATCATAAACAATTAACCGTAGGAAAGTAACCGCTTACACTCGCCCGATCGGGCAATAAAACAAAACTTTTAACTTGGCTTGCGCTCAACTGGGCAAAAACCTGCCCGATCGGGCCGCCAACACTTTAGAAAATAAGTTTGCTCTCGCTCTCGACTGAGCTAATTTAGCCTTATCAGGCGAGCAAATATTATTTTTCTAAGTATATGCTCGCGCCCGACCGGACAAAGCCCGCCTGACTGGGCCCGTGGTCATAAACCATGACACACGTTAAAATTTTTGTTATGCTCCAAATATTAAACTTATAGTCTAGCTCCAAACTAAACTTTTCTTCCCAACATCAAGTTAAATAGAATAGAGTAAGCTAATATCCTCTATTCAACAAATGTGGAACTTTCTTCCCAACAACAAGTTAAATAGAATTGAACAAGCTAACTTCTTCTATTCTACCAATGTGGGACTTCCATCCCAATATTAAGCTATATAGACTAACCTATATAACCAACTTCTATTCTACCAATGTGGGACTAATTTCCCATCATTCATAACACCTATTATGAAGACTACTCTAACAGTGAGATAGTTGCAAGTATCCCAAATTTACAATCCAATCGTTTTGGCTCTCAATAGCCATTGTTCGTTATACTTGTATAGAAGTTTATGGCATTATTAAATTATGGGATTTTTAATTATATTTTGTCCGTTAGATATTAATTACAACATTTCCTAAAAACAAACACGTTTCGGTACAATAGTTGCAGGCTACGGAGTGTTACTTAAATTGTCACTTTAAAGTGATGAAAGTTTTCCTCTGCCACCTTATTCCAACCACCACCACCACCACCCCGCCACACCCTCACAACCCCGCCTGAACCGCACCATAAATCCGGAACACCACCTCACTCTGATCACATATCCTTACAGTCTAGGGACCGGTACTCTACGAGTTCATTTGAGACTTTCCTTTAACCTTAACCTCCCTCTAATGGCCTCTTTTCCTTACCAATGAAACACAGAGATCGAAAAGGGGTACGTACATATCTAGTTGAAGCACCTGAAAGGTGGCTGAACAACCGAATAAGATTGGTATATAAGTGTATTGTTATTTCTAGACTCCAAACTCCTAGGATCAAAGCTCAATTTTCAAACAGATAGGATGCTTCGTTCTTTTATCTAATCTTGCCTATCCACCTCTCTCTCCCTCTGTTGCATGATTCCAAAGCAGGAGCTCTGGAGCTGCTGCAGTAGCAATCAAGCAAGCGCCTGTTCTTGCCGTTTCGGAGTTTTTGGTATGAGAGATAGGGATAAGAAGGATACGCGGGTGTGATAGGATAGGAAATTGGCGAGTGAGATAATATCCATAATGATGATATAAGTGTTTTAACTTCTTTGATTTGATGCTAGTTTTAAACTCGTGCAATAACATAAATTATATATGAAGTACTATGTACTCCATATTAGATTATTGATTTTAAAAAGAGATAATGCAAGTTTATAAGGCTAATTTACAAAATTTGTAAATCAATCACCTTATGTGGTTTTTTTTTTTTTTTTTTTTAAATAAAATGACAAAGTTGTCCCTCATTTATCAAATGATGAAATGGTAAAACTACTCCCGTTTATTACTGAAATGACAAAAACTATCCCTAATTTGCAATTTTTTGTAAATCAGGCTTATATGCTGGATGCCTATCTTTTAAAAAACTCATCATATTTTTTCCTCAAAAATATATATATATATATATATATATATATATATATATATAATAATTAAAAGTGTGCTTCTATACATTAAAGAAATGACTCGCCAACTCTACAGCTAGAGGTGCGTATAAGATGATTTATACTCCTTGTATTTAGAAGTGCCAATTCGAATGATCGGATCGGGTCTGATGAGGTCGGGTCGGGTTGGGTCAATTTTAAAAGTTGAGTCATGATAAATTATTGTGTCCACATGAGTCCAAATCTGAATCGGATATTTTTCAGATCGGTTTCATATCGAGTCGGGTGTGGTTTTGACACCTCTACTTCTATTATAAATTTGATGTAGTACAACCCTTTTAAAAAAAGGAACTAGTAAGTTGTTTCACGCAAAATAGATTAAACTAAGTAAAATACAATCTAATATCATATCATATCACTAATAAATAAAGTCAATCTCGCAGACAGGCCACGAGACAGCGACACTTGACATCTCAGTTTTTCACCAAGTGTCGCGCCACGTAGAAGCCAATAGGTATTATTATGACACATATTATGCTAAGTAAGCGATTTTTAGATAAATTTTTAAGATAAAATTGTTGTATAGAGTTTTATTATCGATATACTTTTAATATTGATATACTTTTTAATAAATATTTATTATCAATATACTTTTTTGGATAGATTTTTAAAGATAAAAATCTTGCATAGAGTTTTATTATCGATAAACTACTAATATTTCATATATACAAAATTAATCATAACTTTTAATAAATATTTACTAACTTGGTTCTATTTCCATCATAAAATTTGTTTTAAAAAGTTCTTTAAAATAATATAATATATTATTTTAAAAAATAATAGAGAATTAGTTAAAAAAAAAAGTTTTAATCAGTAAAAATAAGTTTAGTTTAGTAAAAATACTTTCAGTTTAGTAAAAATAATTTAAGTATGATATCGCATGTCTAAATATCCTGCATTATCAAAACGGATCGGATTATATGATCGTATTTAACATTCAAGCCAAAAAGTTTATCCTAAATTTCAATAAACAACCTAGGCATCGCGAAGTAAGCGAAGTAAGCGAAGTTTAAATAGATATTTAAGATAAAATTTTTGTATAGAGTTTTATTATCGATATACTTCTAATATTTCATATCTATACAAAATTAATCATAACTTTTAATAAATATTTTATAATTTGGTACTATTTCCATCATAAAATTCGTTTTAAAAAGTCTTTAAAATAAGATCCATTTATAATATATTTAATTAATTTACAAAAATAATAGAGAATTAGTGAAAATAAGTTTTAATCATGGAAAATAATTTTGTTTTGTTAAAAATACTTTTAGTTCAGTAAAAATAATTTCAATTCAATAAAATCTATTTGAATTCAGCATGTCTAAATATCATGCATTATCAAAAGGGATTATAGAATCGAATTTAAATTCAATCCAGAAAAGTTTATCCTAAACTTTTATCAACTATGTGGGCATCGCCACACACAAAACTAGTGTATATATATAAATGGGAGTTTTTTCCCAAGTTTTTAGAGAGCCAAGTAGGATTAAATTTTCTTAACGCGCCTTGTAGGATAATAAATTTTAGTTATATCCAATTAAATAAGATATTTATAATTTCTTTTAGAATTAAATAATTCATATGCCATATAAGCAAAATTGGCGAATGAGATTTTAAAGTTTAAATTAATTAAAATAAAATATTATCTTATAACTCAGTACTATTTCCATCATCAAATTTGTTTTAAAAAGTTCTTTAAAATAAGATCCATTTTAATATATGTAATCACAAACTTTTATATGTAGCTGGTCAAACCGTGTCACCAACTATTATAAGAGTTATTTCGTGAGTGCTATAGGGGTTACTTGGTTCAGTGTTATAGTGGTTACTCAATTAGTGTTATAATTAGGGGTTACTCAGTTAGTATTACAAGGATTACTCGGTCAGTTTTATAGGGGTTACTTTGTCCGGCCAAATGGTGTGGCCAGCCGCATACAAAATGCATTGTTATTTAATTTATTTAAAAAATAATAGAGAATCAGTAAAAATGAATTTTAATCTGTAAAAATAATTTTAGTTTGGTAAAGATACTTTAAGCTCAGTGAGAATAATTTAAGCTCAATATAAGTAATTTCAAGTCAATAATAACTTATATACCTATTTACAAACAAAACTACAAATAGTACACTATTATATAAATATAAACCATATGATATCGTATGTCTAAATATCCTACATTATCATAACGGATTATATGACCGTATTTTTTAACATTCAAGTAAAAATGTTATCTTAAAATTTTATCAACCATCTGGGCATCGCCCGGGCACAAAACTAGTGTATATATATAAAGGGGAGTTTTTTCCCAAGTTTTTAGAGAGCCACGTAGGATTAAATTTTCTTAATGCGCCATGTAGGATAATAAATTTTGGTTATAGCCAATTAAATAAGAGATTTATAATTTCTTTTAGAATTAAATAATTCATATGCATATAAGCAAAATTGGCGAATGAGATTTTAAAGTTTAAATTAATTACGATAAAATATTATCTTTTGAGATTAGGAATTTTATCTAAATATATAACAAATGAGAGGATATTTA